TTTCATATATTAATAGCCATAATAATGTCTGCTCTGTGTCTATTTTTCATTTCATCTTTATCTCTGTATCTCTAACTCCGTCCTCTGTCCTGTATCCTCTATCCTCCAGCATCTATCGTCCATCCTGCGTCAACTATTGCCTATAGTCATCGTTTATCGTGTATTTTGTATCGTGTATCGTGTATCGTGTATCGTGTATCGTATATCGTTTATCGTCTATCGTCTATCCTCTATCCTCTATCCCCTATTCTCTATTCTCTATCCTCTATCCTTTATCCTTTATCCTTTATCCTTTATCCTTTATCCTTTATCCTTTATCCTTTATCCTTTATCCTTTATCCTTTATCCTTTATCCTTTATCCTCTAACCTCTAACCTCTAACCTCTATCCTCTATCCTCTATCCTCTATCCTCTATCCTCTATCCTCTATCCTCTATCCTCTATCCTCTATCCTCTATCCTCTATCCTCTATCTCTATCTCTATCTCTATCTCTATCTCTATCTCTATCTCTATCTCTATCTCTATCTCTATCTCTATCTCTATCTCTATCTGTATCTCTATCTCTATCTCTATCTCTATCTCTATCTCTATCTCTATCTCTATCTCTATCTCTATCTCTTATATAAAGAACAAAACAAATATAAAAAATTCATTTCGATGTCAGCGCAAATGACTCTCAGCCGGTGAATTGCAGCTGAAGCGTTTGATATTCGAAGCTCATTCAAATATTGTTCAGTTGCATTTTTTCTTGCCACATTTGACTAAAAATGCTCAACAGCTGATCAAACACTAAAAATTGTTGCCTATGTATATACACGCACACTTGTATTCAAATATCTGGCAATTAAACGAAAGTGTTTGTATGGAAATGAACTCTTATCGCCTGTCGTTAGCCAACAAACATAAACTGTTTGGATTTGCACTTTGAATTTTGATTCTGTGCCACGGCAAAATGAGAATGAGAGAATAAAAACTTTTAAATGCATATTTCGTAAAGGCTTCCCATTTTGTGCCGTATTTGCAGACATGCTACATTTGCAATCAGTTGATTATTGAAATAGCTAGAAGCTTGATTTAGACATTTGTTTTCTACTGAATTGATTGATTTGTATTTTAGCTTTCTCTGAATACAACTGTTCCGAATGATATGATAATAGTAAGGTTTATATATCCTATATGTATTGAGTTCTTTATCATCTATGTTAAGAGTTAAGAAAATTGAAAATTACATATAATTTCTTTTATTACATCAAATGATACTTATTGACACATTTAAATGAAATTGATAAAAAGTTAAAATGGTTTCTTTATTTTTTATATTATTTCATATTGATTATATAGAAACTTCTGCTAAATATATCTAACATACACTTCATTTTATGTAAAGCCAGAGCTTAAAAAAAAAATTGTGATACTGTTTCCAGATATGATTGGTCGTTGCAGCTGCTGTCGCTTGAGTTGAATGTCATGCAAAAACTCAATAAATTTTGCGCAAACGATTTATCATGAGGTTGATTACGAAAATGCAGACACACAAACACACACACACATAGATGGGCAAACACAGTTGCATGCATAAAATAATATAGGAATATTATAATAGACATGGCATACAAAAGCGCCATTGCCATTTTTCACATGTCAGGGCATTGATTTGCAGTTGTTACACAAAATGGCGCCGGCAAGAGAACCGTTAGTAACCCACTAATGGATTGTTGCCAGTCATTGTGTGTACGCGTGTATGTGTGCGTTTATAATGGATGCTTTTGGGATCGTTGATGGGTTTAAGAGCTGGCGTCACCTTTCCACCTTTTGCCAAGCTATCAAAGGTTACAACTGAATTAACATAAATTGTGGCGTGAAAATTGACAACAGTGTATTTTGAGCTTAGATTTGTATATATATACATATATATATATATATATATATATATATATATATATATTTATTTGCCAGGGGCTGCGCGGGGTAGAGCAAGGCGACGTTCATAAGCCTTTTACGAGCACCTTAAATATAGCCATTAACGGTCGCCGGCTTTGATTTACGTTTTGCTTAAAGGGGCGTGGCTACATGGACATGTCTGCACTGTGATAACAATTTGAATTTAAATTAATTTATTAATATTTTATTATCGACTTGTGTTACGGTCCACAAACGTGATTTGCATATCAAGTTGTGCAGAAATTGATGAGCAGTTATTTCAACAATCTCCTACTGCGTGTGCGTGTGTCTGTGTCTGTTATTAACTGCATATTGTCAGAGTTTGCTACGTTTCTTGAATTTAATTTACTGCAAGCCGAATGCACTTAGCCAGCGTCCTGGCCAGGGCAAGTAAATTAATTAACTTTATTGTCCGCCTGCATTGCCAGGATATTGGATCACAGCATAATTTGATTAAAGAGCTAGCAGCATTTCATGCATTTCACTATCAATCTGATAAGAGCATTTATCATTTTTCGGCTTTCACAATTTCTCGAATAAAATATCAAATTTATTATGCAAAAGTCTTAAGCTAATGTATACCAAAATATCTATAACTTTATTTAGGTATTTAACAATGCGAAAATCAAAAGAAAAACATTTGATTTTATTGCAAAATTGTATGCAATTTTATTTGTTAAGTCAAATGTATTTGGCTAATAAGCTGAGCTTATTTATTATAAATACTAGCTTTATTATAGGTGAATAGCTACTGCTTAAATCATTCCAGCTTTTGCCTCTTTATACACATTTCCCACTCACCTAAGTGTGTTACAACTGAGACGATAATTGATGTAATATTTAAACAGAATTGCCCTTGGGATTGGCAATTTAACTAACTGCTATTATGATAAGGTTAGTTGACTTAACTGATCTACTGTATAATTTAATGAACCCCTTCAAGTCAAAGTTCAAAGTTTAATTTTAAAAAGTTTAATTTTAAATCGTCTGTACCTTCTTTGACCTTCTATCTATTAAGCAAATATCAGTGAGTGAAAGCCAAATTATATTGATCAAATTTTATGCTGTATCTGAATCTATATCTACAGCATTCCAGCAGGTGTCACATTCTTATATTGCGTTCGAGTGTAAACGAATTTGGCTTATCGAAAGCATCCGATTTCAAATAATTCTCTCAGCAATCAGTGCAGCGCTCTTTAAGGCTATGTAATAGTACACAAAACAGAATTGGAATCAAAATCGAAATGAAAATGGTAATGGAAATGGGGAAAAGTGTTTTGGGAAAGCAAAAGAGGCGAGTACGCAAACATAAATCAATTCATCATCAATTCAATGTTTTGTTTTCTTTTCTCTTTCTTTTTTTTTCAACCGTATCGACAATTCCTGGAGTTGTTGTTTGCAAAACGAATGCCAAGTGAACTTGGAGCATTTTTCAATTTTCCGGAATCTACAATTCTTTTTTTCTTCTTCTTCTCTTGACTATGCAGCAATAAACGTAATTCGTGAAAATCAAGCGGGAAATGTACAGCAACAACAACAGCAACAATAACAACGGGGTGAACAAAATGAAGAAAATATAGAGTAAATCGGAATGGAAGCAGGTGAGCAGAGGATCTGGTATGGCAGGTGGCCGAATGATAAATGCACAAAAATTTACCAACATCAAAATCAGCAAGAGTTCCACTGCCGCGCATGGGGCGCCTGCACCGTACACGTCGTTTCCCTCTGCCAGTGCATTTTTATTTAATTTTATTTTTCTTTTTTTGCGTTGTCTTCGTTTTCTGTGCTGTGCTTTGCACCTTTTGTTATTATTTGGTGCGACAGGAGCCGCGGCAAGGACACGCGTAGCTCAGCAATTTTTTTTTTACATTCGCGCTGCTGCTGCAATTCCGCTGTGTCTTCTTTGCCAGCAGAGAAGCATTCTTGGAGAGTTTTTAATTTATTTTACTTTCCGCTGTGCCTTGTTCACTCTTTTCGGTCAGGTTTTCCACTTCTTTTTTCTCACTTCCCACTTTTCTTTTTTTTTTTTTGTCTGTAAAGCGTCAATTCGTAATGCAATTTATGTGCATACAAATGAGATATCTGCACGAAAACTTTTTATTTCAAATTCATGTTGGGTTTATGCAAATATGGACGCTATTTCTCATAGCGCATATAAGGTTTTTCATTAGTGGCAATTGTTCCGCGTAAGCTCCATATGTACGCAGTGGCTTGCTACTATTTACAGCCAATCAAAGGGGCGTCAAAACGGCATGAACTGACGGCGCAATCGGTTTACTCAGCTAAACATAACTATTATTCCATTAACACATTTTTGACAGTAATTGTGAATTGAAAAGGATATTTGGTTATAAGAGAAACATTTTTCTATGGCTCACACTATGCAGAATTTGTTGTAAAATTAAAATAATTTTTTAATATATCTACGAAGCTTTGATATTCCAGTTCAAAGGTTTAAACTAATTATTTTCTAATAATAAATGATTAACTAACTGAGAACATTCAATGATAAATTGATAAGCATAGATATCTGATGATTGATTACAACCAATAATAATATAAACGCATTTATCGAATTCCTCGTTACAATTTGCAATTTGCAATGCTAATTTGGTAAACAAAGTTAGTTGGAACTTATGCAAATGTCAATTACGCAGCAGCGTGTCGCGGATATTTAATTGAAAATGCCATAAAGTGTCAAGCGGCACAAAGCGAGTTTTATTTCTGAAGAAAAGCCGGCGAATCAAAGTTGATTGCCATATGTTCTAAGTACTCAAAAGCCAGTTTTCAATCAGAAGCAGCAACAATAACAACAACCACCTCAACAAGCGCCTAAGAGTCGGTTTCCATATAATATACTTTTTATGCGCTGCTGTTAGAGACACCCGAGCTTATCGCTGTGCTTGCCCAGCGTGTCAAATGAATTGGGGAATACACGTTCTGGACACCGTTGTCTGAAAGAGGGGGTAATCCCATCTGATAATCGGTGCGGTTTCCCCACTGTAGTCTTAGTAGCAAAATGCGCTTCTGATGATCTGTGTATAAAAGCTCACTGCACTGCCCCAAGCAGCATCAGTACAGCTTTACCTTCGCAAGCTACAAGCTAATTAACTAACTAAAGAAAATGAAATTCCTATCGGTTGCATTTCTGCTCGGTCTGCTGGCTTTGGCTAGTGGTAAGTACTAATGAGATAAGTGAAAATTAAACAAAAGAAAAACTAATTTGTTTTCCTTCAACAGCCACGCCCCTTAATCCTGGCAATGTGATCATCAATGGCGATTGTCGCGTCTGCAATGTGCGTGGAGGCAAATAAAAATAGACTCGCAAGAGTTCCAACTAACTATAATACCCTCTATATGGATTACAGCAACAACATATCAATTATCAGCAATAAATATGAAAAATAAATAAACATTTATTGATAGAAAAATCTAAACTAAACGTTGATTCAAATAGAAAATCTTCTCACTTTCACTCAAGTTAACTGATAACAGATTTTTTCAAATATTTATATACTCTTTGACTGTACGAATGGGGTATACTGTTGTATACTGTTTCATGCATCTGCAACAGTTTGTTACATTTTTTTACAGCTCATTAAGTCAGTTTTTTAATTTAATCTTTCGGTCTGACCCCAATATAAAAAGCCATTGATATAAATATGAAATACAAAATGGAAATTGACATTTCAAGGAAAGTGCAAAGCTGCGCTCTTCATAAATGCATTAAGCTCTGCGCCATAAAATTAATATGAGCAAGTTTAATTGGAAACGCAGTGTCAGGACATTATTGACAAGACAATATTCGCGATATAAATTCGATTAATGCCAACATATTTTCAGGGCCGACCACCGCCGACCTATAATGCTACCCGCAATATTCCCGCATTGATTTGTCGGCGCATTTCATATACCGTGCCAATAATTTTATATCAAACAGCCTGCGGCTTTTCCACATAGTTGGCGGCGGTTGCTGTAATTGTGTTTTATTGTCTGGATTAAACAGCATAATGCGCACTTATTATGCACATAACTGTAATGTCAATGCAGAGTTAAACCCAGTCCACGTGTAGAGCACGTTTTCATAAGTGTCGCTGTCGCTGTCGCCGCCCCCTTCTTATATATAATTAATTTGAGCTGATTTATTAGCCATTTTTGTATGGGCAAAAACTGTCTCGCACAGACTGGATGGCTCTGAGATGTGCGTAATTAATACGATATGTTTTAAATATTCCGTTTTAAATAATATTAATTATATAAATGAAATTATAATTTCATTATTCCCAACTTGACAATTCGCCCGCTGAAATGAAACTTATTTAAGTGCATATAAATCTTAATTTGTTTTTGCGGCGACGACGCGTCCATTCTCTGATTAAAAATGTATAATAAAATCAAGTGCTGAGGTAAACGCAATATTCCATTGCCTGTCATAAGCCAGAAACCAATGTGGTTCAATGAAAATATTCAATTCAATTTTATATCAAGTCAAGCGCCGGCCAGCACACGGTTCTGCACACTTGTCATCAATTGCTTAACGACACATTGCACTGGTCATTAACTTTTTATATTGTTGTCAGACATTATATAGCCTTGTTCTGCATAATATTATAGTCTATACAAACTAGTTTTCAATTTGCAAAACTTTTCTCATATAACTATAAAATGAGCAAATATATACTATAATAACCTTTCCAAGTTCTTTCAATATTTTCAATAATATTACTTTTATTTGAGCGCAAGATATTTACCTGAAATGAAAGAGATGGAAAAATTGTTGTTAACATATTTAAGTTCATACATCGTAATACGCTTATTTAAATAAATAAATTCTAAGCGTTATTCTCACAATCAATTAGTAAATTTAGCATATTTGGTGATTAAAATTTAATAGTAAAATATCTTAATGTAAAAATAAAGCTTAAAATTCTTGTGAACTGTTGAAAAAGTATTGCAAATATATGTGTTTGGCTTCCGCGGATTTTGTATATTTGATATTTGATTATTTTGTGGCTTTATGTTGGTAATCATGTGCCTCACTTCGGCTGACAAGGTCAGCCATTTCAAATTCTTGACAGTCGATTTCTGTCTATTCCAAAAAATGAAGCATATCAAATTTTTGGACAAAAAAGTCCCTAATGATGCCGCAGCCACCATTTGCCGCAGAGCTAGCCGCGTGTAACTCTTTCATGTTCCTAAAACTAAAGAACTGAAGTTATGCAAAGGCAATTCTACACTACAATGGAACTGATAAAAAGGGCATGGCAGAGTAAAGTGATAGAAGAGCAAACAATTATTATGGAGGAGAAAAGGAAAAGAACAGAACAAAACAAAATTGAAGTTCATGAAGAAATAAATACACAAATACTGATATTTTTTGAACATATATATTAATTATATAATATGATAAAAAGACAACATTTATCAATCAACTAAAATGATCACTAAATGCTCAAAAATATCTATAATTTATTGCATATTTCAGTGAGGTCTCATCGAATTCATCAGACTCTTGCATATTTGACAACTCAAATCTGTTCATTTCCGGCTTTCGAAACTGCACACATTTGCAGCCAAGTTGAAAATGCAAATTTATGTCCCACAGCATGAAGCATCAAATGCATTTCAATTGACCAACATAAACAACCGAATTTTCTTTTCACTTTGCCACAAACAGAACCGCAAAGGGTTTGCCAACGACAAAAAAGGGACCGAGCTTTGCTCTATCCATCTATTTCAGCAATTGCAAAAGCCAACAACGAAAATCCTAAAATTTCAATAGCAAAAGAAGCCCAATGCGCATAATTTTAGTGCGGCTGCATGCGGGGAGCGCTGAAGTAGGAAGGGGCACGGAGCAGGCCAGGAACTGAAGTTTCAGGATTGCATTTCGTATTAGGATAGGGCCAACAACAAGAGAGAAAAAGGAAAATAAAAAGAGATGACTGCAAACAAAATGGCGGCGGCACAGCAGGCGCTGCCAGGCCAGAAATGTGCCAAAATGTCAGAAATTCAGAGGGAAATCGGCGAAAAAAGAAGTGAGTGAGAGAGAGGGTGAGCAGGCTGTATGAAGTAAAGCATAAATTTCATTTTAGCCACGTCGCTTATCCATTCCTTTGCTGCATTTCACGTTGTGCTTTATCGCGTAATCTCGACAGCGCGCTGGCAACTGCTGCCCATTTTTTATGGCCTGATGATGATGTTAATGATGAGCGTGCTGATGCTGATGCTGATGCTGATGCAGCAGCAACTGACTTTGATGGTGCAAGCAATTTGCGCTGCAATTGTTTATGTGCTGATCAACGTCAAAGGGCCTGATTTCTAGCCGGCCAACGCGTATTTTGTAAGCAATTTTTGGTGCACTAATTACGGTTATGGCAAAATGTTTTAAATGTGGCCGGCCTTCGTTACAGTCAAAGGATGCGGAAATGCTGCCAAAGGCAGCCAGACAAAAGCACTTAACTAGCACACTCTCTCTACTCGCGCTGTCTCTTTCTAACTACCGCGCCCAGTCGTTTTTAAATGGCGTCCCGTCGCCATTTTGTATTTAGAAATACAATGGCGCACGCGAAAGCGTTTTGCGGCAGCTTTGACGTTGACGCAGCAGACGCGCTGTGTCCTGCATGTGCCGCTGCCGCTGCCGCTGCCGCCGCCGCCGCTTATTCCCCATTGCCGCGTTGTCTGTTTTGTCCACTTCCTTACACTAACACACACACATACACGCTGTGTATACAGCGCCATAAAGTATGCAATAACATTTTATTGTAACAACTCGTTAAACGTAACAAAACAAAGCAAAAGAAACGAAAACGAAACGCAAGGAACGGGAAGAAAGGCCAGCCAGCAGCAAAGTGAGCAAAAAGGACCCGCCGACAGGCAGCCAAGGCAAAAAGCCACTCATACAAAAACCCTAACCCCAATCCCAATCTCAAACCCTTCGCTTAGACCCATGGCCCATGCCATTCAACTGCCTGTCCCTGTTTAGCATAAAATTTACTGCACCACGAACATTTGACGTTTACGTTGCCGTATGCCCCGTAAATCCTACTAATCAAATTTATTACCCACTCACACACACACACATACACACACTCACACACACTTAGCAAGCGACCACAAGCGCATTTCGCCTGCTGGGCAACGAACCAAGCCAAGCCATGGCTTGCCCGCTCTGCTCACCTGAGCTGTACCGCTCCGCTATTGCCAACGGGCAACTTGGCCAAGCTCGACAGCTGGACAAGCTGGACAGCTGAACAGCTGGCCACTTCAAATGCTTGGCAATATGCATATTAAATTTAATTAGAGCGACGGTAAACATAAATTCAGGCACTGGAGTACAACGCTTGACGTTCAGCAGCCAGCAATGCAATGGACAAAGCAACAACAACAACAACAACGCTGAGGTATTAAGAGACCAGCAGCAGCAGCGTCTGGCACCTTTTCATTTTACCAGGCAGCAGCAGCTGCTTGCCTCCTGCTTCCTTCTTCTTGTTGTCTTTTTTTTTTTTGTTATGAACCAAAAGCAATTTCGTCCTTTGGCTCGTAGTGGCTGAAGTGTTCAACTGGACTTGAAATGGGTTATTTTAGGTTAAAAAGTTATGAGTGTCTATCAAAAATACAAGCAGCATATCTGAAGCCTACTTTACGAGCGGACTGCCCAAAATTATGATTCTTATTTAATAAATATGTTCATTTAATGAGGCCAGACGCGTGGTTAGCTGTCAGTCGAGATGATTTTTTTTTGAAAAAGCTATATGGAATTATAAATTTAATATATTCAACTCGCATTACTTATGCCAGCTTATTCCCTTTTTTACCTAATCAAGTCTATCTTCTAACACAAAAAATTCACTAATTGCCATAGAAAAGTCCATTTGGAAAAAGCTGCATTAAAATTTAAAACAAAAACTTTAGCTAATTTGATTTTAAATAATTTGCATAACTTTTTAATTTACTTTAAGTTCTCGAGCAACCCTCGTTATAACGACCAGCAGCTGTAGAGTGTTATGACACCTACCTTGTCCTGCCTTAGTTTATTCCACCAAACAATAAACAATCAAATTAAATGTGCACAGTGTTGCACACTCTCTATTACTCCCTCTCTCCTTCTCTCTCTTCTTATTCTTCTCTCCCACACAGTCCGACAAATGATGTTAATGAAATTAATGCCAAGTTATAGTCAACTTTTGAGCAGCTGACTTACCTTGCGGATTATGTTTAACTTTTGTTGGAGAATCGAAACTTTTACTACCCCACAGGCAAATGCGACTTGAGAGCTGGGGCTTTGCTGTTTTTTATGAACTCTTAGAAGAAGCCTCTTCACGATAGCCACTAAAAATGTAACTAGATTGTTACGGAACACACACATACACATACACA